TCGCGTTTCTTTTGTATTAGTTTCGGCACGCGAGATAAAATGCATCAGTTTCCACGTCATTACATGTATTGCCGGAACATTGATGAAAATACGCTCTGTAGTAGCAAAGCTGTTGGGTCCTAGATAGCTCATTGGTTAGAGCAGTCCCTGGATCGCGAATGGGTTCGAGTCCCATTCCGGGGTACAGGTAGATGGATTCTTCCAGCATTTTTCCTTGAGAATGTTTATATATTTTTTTAATTCGAATAGTTTACTTTTATAATGCTGTTGTGTGTAATGTGTTTTTATGATCATAAAAATCTCTTTTTTCTATATTTAATACTATTACTATTAATACATTGCAATAATAATTATGATTCACATGATTAACAATAAAGCGATTACTTACTTTTAAATCCTTATATATGTTTTATTTAATTATTTTTTATTCACAACGCCCTATCACCAGGGTGACGGTTCTGTTCAGGAGAATTTTTTTAAATACGTAGGCAAAAAAACTGCCACATTACAAATCTTTTTGACAGGACGAAGTCTGTCGGGTCAGCTAGTTTTTAATAAAAACCTTTCTATTTATTTTCTTCTTATTGTTTGAAAAAGCAAAAATGATATATAATTGTTGTCAGAAATATTTTTGTAAAAATGTATGGTAATTCAATAATCATATATATTTCTAAAGGTTCTATCGTTTGCAAAAATAGACTTTTTATGTGGTTTTTATTGAGCTTCTGCTATAAAACGGCGTTGATTGCAAATTTATAGTTCGAGGATAACGGGAAGTACATTATCAATTTTGGTTGCCTTGACAGTGTCAAAATATGCGATTTTTTTTGGGTATAAGGCTGTGTTCCGTAGTGAAGCAGTTTTCGCATATAATATATGTTTGTTTATTTTTTTTTCTATGGTATGATAAGCACAATTCCGTTTCAAAATTATTTAGGATGGATTACTTCATTATATCTGGCCACTCATTCTTAATTAGTTCCTAAGCCCGCCGCTCAATACCAGGGAGGCGCCACAAGCATAACCGCCTTTTTTTTTAAACAAACGAAGTTCAAGACATTGCGCTTTTCAACGTGTTACGTGCGGCTGCATATGTGATTTTTCTTAACAATAATTTCGTTCATTACTTGCGTCGAATTTCATAAAATTCGAAAAGAACATTTCCCGCTTTACTAAGCGTTTTCGGTGTGAAAAACACAAGGAGGAAGATTGAAACAGTGACCTAGGATAATTTCGTGTGGTCACTCAGCGCCTTGACCGTTGTCCGGAGGGAACGTGCAGGCCCGGCTAAGGAGAAAAGAGGTGAGTGGCCAGTCTTCTTAACAGGCTGTTTCTTCTTTACGTTAATTTAGAATTTTCTTTTTTCGCAATTTCAATGATATTCACGTGTTCCTGAAATCAAGCGTCTTGACAGACAAACGGACGACAAAGAGCTCCGTGTCTTTCCTTTAGAGGTTCGTTGTTCTGAAATAACGTTTTGTAACATATACGTTTCGAAAATGGAAACTAAAGCTATACTAGGTTTAAGAACCTAGGTAGGAGAAAAAAGGTCTTATAAACGCTAATCCTTTTACGATAGGGCCTTGGAGCCCATCGACTTTATCAAGAGTTAAAAAAGAAACTTTTTGACAGGTCAGGTGATCAGAAGGCTGGTTTGTGCCTCGCCCAAAGAATCAGTTTAGCTATTCAAAGAGGAAACGCTCGCAGCCTTCTAGGTACCTTACCTGTAGGCAATGATCTGATAATTTCGTGTAGTCACTCAGCGCCTTGACCGTTGTCCTGAGGGAACGTGCAGGCCCGGCTAAGGAGAAAAGAGGTGAGTGGCCAGTCTTCTTAACAGGCTGTTTCTTCTTTACGTTAATTTAGAATTTTCTTTTTTCGCAATTTCAATGATATTCACGTGTTCCTGAAATCAAGCGTCTTGACAGACAAACGGACGACAAAGAGCTCCGTGTCTTTCCTTTAGAGGTTCGTTGTTCTGAAATAACGTTTTGTAACATATACGTTTCGAAAATGGAAACTAAAGCTATACTAGGTTTAAGAACCTAGGTAGTAGAAAAAAGGTCTTATAAACGCTAATCCTTTTACGATAGGGCCCTGGAGCCCATCGACTTTATCAAGAGTTAAAAAAGAAACTTTTTGACAGGTCAGGTGATCAGAAGGCTGGTTTGTGCCTCGCCCAAAGAATCAGTTTAGCTATTCAAAGAGGAAACGCTCGCAGCCTTCTAGGTACCTTACCTGTAGGCAATGATCTGGGAGACCTTTTTATTTAGTACTAGCTGACCCGACAGACTTCGTCCTGTCAAAAAGATTTGTAATGTGGCAGTTTTTTTGCCTACGTATTTAAAAAAATTCTCCTGAACAGAACCGTCACCCTGGTGATAGGGCGTTGTGAATAAAGAATAATTAAATAAAACATATATAAGGATTTAAAAGTAAGTAATCGCTTTATTGTTAATCATGTGAATCATAATTATTATTGCAATGTAGTAATAGTATTAAATATAGAAAAAAGAGATTTTTATGATCATAAAAACACACAACAGCATTATAAAAGTAAACTATTCGAATTAAAAAAATATATAAACATTCTCAAGGAAAAATGCTGGAAGAATCCATCTACCTGTACCCCGGAATGGGACTCGAACCCATTCGCGATCCAGGGACTGCTCTAACCAATGAGCTATCTAGGACCCAACAGCTTTGCTACTACAGAGCGTATTTTCATCAATGTTCCGGCAATACATGTAATGACGTGGAAACTGATGCATTTTATCTCGCGTGCCGAAACTAATACAAAAGAAACGCGAGTTTCGGAACGCGACATTAAACTCCTCCAACTATGTATTCTGTGCTCCAACGCACACACGCACATTGTTTTGATAGATATGATCTTTGACGTTAGGAACACACCTACATTGCTTAGACAACAGTGAGTACTTGTAATTTAATATGAACTTTATACCATAGCAATAAAGCTCAAATTGACTACGTTTTAGTTACAAATCATTTGTATGGGAAAAAGAAAAGGGCTATTTTTAGGGTTTTTCCAGCAATAATTCTAATTTTTCTCGCCGTAAAAACCATCCTTGAACTTCAACGAACATTTTAAAAAAAGATTTGGCCAAATTGGTCGAGGCGTTGTTGAGTTATGCGCTTACCAACACATTTTGCGATTCATTTTTATATATATAGATTTAGTTTTAATATATTTTCTATTATTCTTTAGTTAAGTGTTAATTTTTTTTTTATAATTACCTAAATATTATTTGTCTATCTTTATTACACACACACACACACACACACACACAAGATCGTTCGCGGTGTAAGCAATATTATTATTATCCTGATAAATTCTTTCTATAATATATTTTATAATAAAAGGCTTTAGGGAATTCGAGTTTTTACTATAACATTTTAATTAAATATTATACCACGGTTCATTTGCGTGCTAGCCAAACATTAGAAAAAGGTTCATAATAGTATTTCTTTTTAAAGTTATTTTTTTATTAATGTTATAACGATTATAAAAATTAAAACGAATTCATATAAAAATACATAAATAGAAATCGTTAAATAACGTACTAGAATGAAATATTTTGTTTGGAAATTAACTAAAATCTCTCTTTATATATCTTTGAAAAAGTGGTTAATAGCCAGTTTTTCATATTATATTTCATCCATAGGAAAGAACTGTGCCTTGGCAATGGGAATATTAATTATCTGATTATGATGGTGATTACGATGAACTATTTTGGTACTGTTGTACCCTTAAAGAATATTAGTTGATAATTTGAAATGAGTCAAATATTTTTTTTACGAAAAATTAAACTTTTTATCTTTTTAAAAATTACCAAAAATTCGAACAAGAATTGAATAACTTTTCACATATTTTTTTTTTCAAAATTAAACGAGATAGAATAAATACTTTAATGATTCTCATCAAAGTCACAACAATAAATCTTTGCGTTCATACAACATACTTTTTCAATCTTTGCGTTTATTTCATTATTCTCCTACTCTTTACCTAACCTCAAATGAGAGGTACCTCGCGAGTACCTCATGAGGTAAAACGATGTCTTCACTCATCCTCAATAAAAAATGTGTGAGTTAAAAAACTCTAGTAGGGTAGGTAAATAATTACTATTATCTGATCCCTGTAGCGAGGTCATACTTTAAAATAATCCTCGCTTTTTTACTATATCATTAATATATTAGGAAATCATGTCCTTATACATGTTTTATGTCTTTATCTTATGTCTTTATACTATTTAATTAGCTTATTCTACTCATTTTAAACTATACTCATACTATGGGATAAATATACTCTGAGGTGGAATGATTTAATTTTACACACAAACATAACTTAAACTATTTTCTATATAATTTACATCACTTCTGGGTCTTCATATTAACTAGTGCGTGTGTTAGAGACCGAGCATTAAGGGTATGCTCGATCTCGGTTAGTAGCGTGAGTAGGACTTCCTCCCGTGGCAATTTTTATGTAGCGTCATTCGTACTGCATACTTGACACTTCATACAAGACAGTCCCATGTGCCCCCTTGTTGTGACTCGCCTGGTGATTTATAACGCTAATTAATTCGTTGAGTAAGCTCGTAGTCTCCCATTCCAATATCAATCCAATATCATAAAGATCATTTTATATCGTTGCGGCGGCGTAGTTCGATCGTTGCTTCCCTGGCCTAGGCTGTCTTTGTTTATCTTTATTTGGAGAAACATCTCTTTAAAAAATCTCTTCTAAAAAATAGGTCCATCACATCTATGAACATCGGATCTAAAAGTTCGTCGTTGAAACAGATTCTGTTTATTACAGCGGCTGCTTCGAACACTAATCGTATTTTCGGATTTGTTACGGCGAAGTGGAGTAGATACCACAAATGTTGGCTATTTAGTTCCTCCCCATTCCTTTTCTCCGCGTAAATCTTTCAATAGATTTCTATCTCCTTATGACAGACTCATAACTCGGTGGCATCTTTACGTTATCGCGACACCACGTTAGTCGTATCTCTTCCGTTGACTCTTTTTGTGGTCGTATCGAACAACTCTCTTGCACGAGTGTCATTCGGACTTACTCGCTCCTCCTTACTTATTCCCAGAGAGTCGATTGCGAAGTACTCCTTAACTCTGTCGTAAAGCGTGTCATCATAGTGAAAGGGAGCGAGATCATCACGCATCGTGATGTGTCTACACCGAGTCTCTCTATCAGCATCTTTGATCGCGGTGCAGATCCATGAATTACCCATCCAAGCTTCGCGAGTGAAGCGATCCATTGGTCTCGCTTGTTCTGTAGCAGTCTTCGCATAACTATAAGGTACCAGTTGTCAACACCGATCAGGATGCGTGGTTCAGAATATTCGTAACATACAGCGTTGCTTTCAAAGTATCTTCATTTACTGTTTGATCTATCAGCGTTTTTTCTTTGTTTTTGCCTTAACGCTAAATCACTTTTTGTTCATAGCAACCAATAAAAGATTTAACTGTCTAGTTTTGTATACGTTCTGTGTGTTAATGCTTCAAATTTAAATTATTCGTAGACCCGTTAGCACCCACGTAATTGGTGACATCTTCATCAAATATTGTTATTATCGACTCGATAGAAGAAATGAGAAGTGAGCGCTTTTCCTTCTTCGCAGTTAGAAAGGATAGGCAGGATTATATAGAATGTTGAACAGATCTGCCTTCTCTTATCCTAACTTTTCCTAACATTCTTATTGTCATATGGCTACCCACTTGATCTGCTTACGTATATATAATCGCTAGATAAAAGGCGTTTAAGCGTGTGAAAAGAGTAAAAAGTCTTACGACTAACCTCAGATACATTTTTTAAATATTACTCTTTTCTTTCGATATTGACATTGATTTACTGTCGCAGTATATTCTTTTTATCGTAAGTTAATATATATTCCATCGTGAGTATAGTGCAATAAAGTAACTTAATAACACGTATTTATAGAGACTGTAAGATTTATTATTTGTTATAATGGATCCATAGTTATGAATTAATGTTAACATAATTAGAGAAATTAATATAATCTGTCATTATTCTATCTTCTATCGAGTCAAGTCGAGCATAAATGTTCACTGCACCATTCAGTCCTCTTGTGATGGGATACACTTTCAATAATGCTTTGGGCCTCTCTGTCGAGTGAGTAGTCGACGCAACCATTGTTCCTTCCTTTGTAGATTTTACCTTGGTCGCTCGGGCGCGGCTGTTGTATAGCATCGCATGATGTGGATGGTAGCAGCCTCTACACAACATAGTGGGCTGTTACAGTGTATACGTTGATGCTTTTTGTTTACACATCGAAAACAAATTTAAGATTTCTTAATCCATTCCCATCTTTTACTGCTTTAAATGGCAGCCATTCGGCTAGTGCGCCGTTGAAAATTAGCAATTCTTGAGCTTGACGCGGCATCACACCTATTCATCATTCTTTCTAATGTATGAGCAAGCTTATTCATCTCCGAGTCGAACTGTCAACGAGTGACTGTTTGACAATCTCGGTTCACAGCTCCATCTATTAAATTTTCTTCCTCAAAGGAAGAGTTCGTAATTTATCTAACTATACAATCGCCGCCTCGGTCGGTCGGTTTCCTCTTGAATTGTAGCAATTTCGGATGCTAATCTCTTTTTTATAAGTTACGTTTCGATTCGAGCAACTCACGGCATAGTAATTCAACGAGTCGCACTTTCGCTAGTAGTTGCGCTTGCTTTACGCGTGCGGCGATGCTTAAATTCGCATGGCGCATGTTCGTTTCTATAAATGGCGGTGCCAGCACTATGCATGGGGCAAGACATCAAGGTAACACAGGTGGCTTGTTGAATATTATTTCACGCTGTCCACTATGTTTTGCTTGACTTTCAAGTCTCGTCATTGGCATATCCTCTTCTTATTTGCAGCCCCTTCTCTCATCCATAGTAGGGTAGTGGAGGTCGGTAAAGTAACTTGTCTCGTTTTCATCAATTTCTCCAATGCCTTTAATACTGTTAGTAACGGTATCCTTCTTCCCATACTCTCTCATATTATGGTCTCTGACGATGTTTTAACGTCCAGTCTAGCGAGTTTATTTGGTCTTGGTGCAATCTGGAAACTGGTGTTCCCCAAGGCGGCATTTTTTCACCTCCTCTTTTTTCAATATTTATTGATTTCGTTACTCACTAACTTCGGTGTTCGTATCATCTGTATGCTGATGACTTACAATTATACACCGATGCAAGTATCAATGAATTAGATAATACTATTGATAGACTTAACAGTGACTTAATAGCTATAAAAATCTGGTCGAATAATTTTGATGTTTCTGTTAATCCTTCTAAATGCCAAGCTATAATATTCGAGGGACAATCAATCATAAAGAAGATTAACTTCAGTAATTATGGCTCCGTTGTGTATGACAGAATGTGGATCCCTTTTAGCCCTAGTGTAAAAAATATAAGATTACATATCGCTCAAACCTCAACTGGCAAGCGCAAGTACGCAGTGTTTGTCAAAAAGTGACAAAAATTGCGAGCGTTTTATTGACTTAAAAACTTTCTGCCTATCAATATTAAAGCTATGCTTATGCAGATCTTTATATTTCTTATTATCGACTATGGTGATGTGTGTTACCTCGACCTGAATACAGATCTACTAAATAAACTTGACCAATTTTTGACTAACTGTATTTGATTTGTTTTTAATATTAGAAAATATGACCCTGTGTCTGCATACCGATTTCATTTAAAATGGATGACCATTCGGCGGCATAGAACTAATTTGTTCTCTTTAATAAACTCTTCAAATGCTCCGTTTTGTCTCACGTCCCATTTTCACTACTTACGTATTACTCATACCAAAAACCTTCGTTCCTCCTCAAATGGGCGGCGCATGTGTCCATCTCACCACTTCGATACCATCCATTCTTCGTTATTCGTTAAATCGAATCTACTGTGGAATGAACTTCTAATGGACATCAGAATGTCCACCAGCAAATTTACATTTAAAAACAAACTGCGTAGCTTTCTGTTGGAACAGGCAAATTCGTTACTTTGAGTATAGTTTATGTATTTTGGTTTATATAGGCATTTCTTTTATTTATTAATATCTCTACCTCGATTGTGCACCTTTTATCTCCACATCACCCATCCGGTTGACTGGTAGAAAATGCCTAAGAAATTAAGTCAGCCAATGTACTCTGTGCATGAAATGTAAAAAAAAAGAGTACAGAGTCTATGGATAGTAATACATATCCTTTTATTAAGAAATACATAATATTATGTTTGATTGCAGTGTGACTAATGTAGGTTTTAAGTTATTCATGCCTACTTCTACATCTAGATGAATATTTGTTTACAAATATTTACTAGGCCTTTTATTTACTAGTTGTATTATGATATCTTTGTCTATATCTAAACGATTAGTCAATGTCATTTTAGATCATATAAAACATCAAATAGTAGGTATTATTAAAAGTAATGATGTATTTGGAATAGTTATTGAGTGTTGACGTAAATAGAAATACAGAATAAAAAGCGGCATAGTTGAACCGAAACTGTCAACTACGCAGTAGCATATTTTCAGGTCTCAATTGAAGTGCGAAATCTTTTTAGAAAGGAGAAGATTCGCAGATGAACCAATGTGACTGACATAGCTCAAAGAATTACGAGCCTGAAATGGCAATTGGCAGGGCACATAGCTCGTAAAACATTAAAAAAGCCGTTGGGATAGTAAAGTCTTCAAGTGCAAACTACGGATCGAAATACGGAGCGCAGGCAGGCCTCCTACAAGATGAACCGATGATCTGGTAAGGATCGGCGGGAAGCGTGGAATGAGAACCACGCACAAACGAACAACGTGTCGAGTTTTGGGGAGACCTTTGTCCAGCAGTAAACGTTTTCCAGCTGAAATGATTATGATGAGGAATCGAGGCACGGGGATGAAACACAGCGTTTAACCTTCGCAAAATAGTATATCAGAGTCTGCGAGGAAAATGCTATTTAGGGTCAGCTTATGTGCCGTATAATGGTGCCACCTTGCTAGTATTTTTTAAGCAGTCATTGCATATGGCATTAGTACGACTATTCATGGGACAGAATTTAATGCAACATGCACTATTTTTCCATCCATAAGACGTCAGGGGTTTCATTCGGCTAACGTAGCGCGCGACATGCACACTCTTAATACCTGTATTAGTGTGTCTTCGTATATTTCGTACGTATATTTTATTTTAGTGACCGAATGGTTCGCCCGCCAGTTTCAAGTTGTCGCCATCTCTGAGGTCCCGGGTTCGATTCCCGGTCGGCTCAATGTAGAAAATAAACTTTTCTATATTGTCTGGAGGTTGTGGTGTTCGTTGTCTCAGATACTCTTATGGAGTACTTTAGCTACTCATCTTGGAATCTGAGCTATGTATGTGATATTGTTTAATATAAAAATATATAATAAATAAAAAATATATTATTTACCTACCGTTATCATTTATAGTTTGTATAAAGACTGAGGGTGGCTGTAAAGACAAGAGAAAAAACTAGAGGAATCAACACGCCCCTCAATCAAATAGATATGGACAGAACATTGCGTATTGCACAACAAAACTATTTTTTAATTACATACCATTACGATGATTATAAAAAAAGCTCCGTAAAACCCTTAACTACAAGATCACTCACATATTTGTAAAGGGTCATTACCAATATTGTTCCATTTTCATGGTTATTTCGGCAACGCGTCAAGTTTCTTAGTAAAACGGTTGTTCCCTCTAATACTTTTCTAAGAGCTGATTGTGACAGTACATAAGGGATTATAATTAATGACCGAAACTAGAACTCTTCAACTTTTGTACAGCATTAAGTATAGGTATAACTCCGAAAAATTGCGATGAAAATAATTCTGACGTAATAACTCCTTTGAGTTTATTGTTGCGTTAATAAGATTTAAGTCATTATTCAAAATACTTTGAAGCTTATACGCGAACATACAATGTTTGATAATTGAAAAGAAAACGAAGCTTAAGACTTCCCTATGCAAAGAAAAATATCAGAAAGAGAAATATTAGAAGCCCTATATTTAAAATTTATTTTTTTACGTTAATTATTTATCTTCTTATACTATATATACAAGCTTTCTGCCAGCGGCTTAGCCCGCATGGTCCTGTATTATGCATATAGCCTTTCCTCTTCCATCTCTTTATATATTGATAAAAACCGCATTAAACCCTGCAAATCAACTGTGACTGATGGACGGATAGACAGACGGACAGCCGAGTGATAATATAAAATTTCCGTGTTTTCGTTTTGAGGTATGAAATATCCTAAAATAATACCTGATACGAAAAACCATACAATCGCATTGAGAAACTTGTAAAATAACATAGTATTATAAGTTAAGTGTAAAATAATAAATTATTCTAAAAAAAAACGTAAATTATATTTGGCTATTTTTACTTTTGTCGCTAGGGATATTAAGCACAGCTTTAAGTTACACATTGAAAGTCCTTTTATCAAATGCGGACGTAAAAGGACGGGCTTCGCTTGATTTCACGCGGTGTCTCTAGAGGAACAACTTGCGGGTTGTTTAGACCCTATCGAATATACTACTTTAATTTCAAATGTACTCTACTATAATTTACAGATAGAATAGGAGATTTAGGAATTTTAAACTGGTACTCGTTTGTACTGGTAAAAGAGACCTACTTGTTTGAATGTCACAATCTTTTGTTTATAGATGTCAATATTTTCGGACCATCTCAAATCAATATAAACTAACGTGGATAAAAAGTCTATATATATATATTGTGTTGATGTTATTATAATTTCCTTCATTTTATGATTACAGAGAAAGTATTCAAAGATGGAATAATTACCCATAAATGAAATACTAAAATTCGTTACCTAATTATTCTTTATAGAAAAACAATATACTTCGAAATTTATCATGCCCAGCAATCAAATTAATATTGGTCACGCATTTGGTGGAGTTATTGAAAATTTACATTTTTCTCTGGTAAGGACCAATTTAAAAAAGTATTTCATTATCCCAAACTAAGTATTAATAAATATACTTACTTGCGGGAGGCGCAGGACCGATCGCTTTGGAGATCTTTGGGGAAGGCCTATGCCCAGCAGTGGGCGTCCCTCGGCTGAATTGATTGAAACTTTCAATATTTGGTTACTTTAATTTAATATCATGGATTATAAAGAACTTAAATTATCGTTTTCAAAATCATTTTTCACTTATTTTAACGTGCAT